CTGGTATGAGAGACTCTGTGAGTGTCTCACGACACTCTCCAGTTGTAGCTCAATGGATCGCTGAGGTGCGCAAACCGTCACACCACGGTAAGGTCCAGTCTCTTCGTCACTAAAAATTACCATTGGGTTTGGTAGGTCGAAATCAAAATCCTAGAGTGAAATTGTGTGCTGAACTAAGTAGTCATGGCAACACAATGAAGTCTTTCAGATAACGGTATGGTACATGAAGCTGCTGTATTAAAATCAAGCACTGCTTAAATGTGACAACCACTAATCTATTTAACCTCTGTTACCACCACCGCTTCCCGGTCAGCGCAGTCAGAGAACAGCTGAGCACCGGGAGCGATTGAGGGTTTCATCTCCATCTTTGAATAGAGTGAGTGGGAATTTGTCAGGACCAGCAGCAGGATGGGGGTCAGAAGGCACTCGGTTGTTTACGACCACGCTGTGCGTATCAGCTGGAATAAATTATACACATCCCCAGAGTTTCTAATCTCCTCCATCTCTTAAGCATTCTGGATGCACCAAGTTTCTAGATCCACGCAGTTGATCTTTCTTACCTGAGGCCTGACAGCTCGTTGAGCGGTACTGTACTTTCGACCAGGATGAGTACGTGTTCTAGCATTGAGTAATTTAGGAGTGTTGACCGAGGTCCAGTGCATAGGTCTAGTTAGTTGGACCACTCCGCAAGTGAAGTGCCCAGAACTTTACAGGGTTGTGGACAGTATTCTCCAACAAGAGACCAGTAAGGGACTTCAGTAGGTGGTTCTGGCAGACTTGTTTCACATCAGGGTTCGAGAGCTTCTCAACGACCAAGCGAGGTGAGTAATAATGCACAAAACTTGTTGAAATAATTGGAGCAAACTCAGAAGGCTCTTAAGTTTCCGGCACTTGAGAGATCGTCATGGGACGCCGGATCCGCAAGTTGTTGGTACGGCTTTTATGGATGCTATATCTGCTGACCTCGACTATATCCAGTGCTCGTTTGGGCGAGTTAGACTGCTTTAATGGACAGCTATCAAAGTTGGAAGTCTACGTCCTTTCACTCTCCTCCGTTCGCGCTCCAACCAACCTTCGGCATCAGCATGACTGTGCGTTTCCAACAGTCTCCCAGCAAGAGCAGCTCGCCAGTGTTTAGCTACTAAAACTCACCAGAGTCGGTTGACAGAACTGCTCTGATTCGGCACACAATTCTGATGGGACCCGGTGATACCTCATCCATCACATTGGCACAAGTCGCGTACCCCAGAAATTTCTGCACTAATCTTAACTGAACTGAACAGCTGTACAGCGCAAAGATGACTGGTTACTGGGATCCAGCTCGGAAAATTACAATCAGACCTAGGGCTGATTCTTACCCCCACACTACATATATCCCGACACCTTAATTCAGGTTCACTAGATACCCGAAGAGTGGAACGTAAAACACCTGAGATCATTCTAAGCGTTTTGTGGTGTACCACCAAAAGGACGTCTTGTACGTGTTTCGGGAACACAGCACAAATCGATAGAAACGGAAGGCATTGCTTCAGAAAGAGAGGTCTGTTGTGCAGTTTGATGGAGATTACGGATATCGAAGGCAAAATAGTCTAGATTTCTGGAGTCTATTAAGGGACTATGTTGATTTGTCTTGCTAGGTGATAGTTTAAACAGGAAACAATGATTAGGGTACTGAGAGAAGGATTACCACAAGTGTATCACTAGATGGGTGAGCAGGCTGCATGAATGATAGCCGGTGGACGAAAAGGTACAGGGGCAAATGAAGCTTCCCGGTTGCCAAACCGAGAAAGACACGTTGCTTGAGATACCCTATGGGAGCCTTTGACCAAAAAGTCTGACCCGCAAGAGATTAGGTGCAGGATATTTTTCGGGGAAACTTCGTCAAGCATCTCACTATAAAACCTGAACCGCGAGACAGTTGTTAGGGTGGAAGCCTTCGGGGCCAATGACTCTATGGAAAGGCCCACTTGACTGCAGGCGTAGGTCTGGCCCGAGGACGCAGGGAGGCATAATCGTCTGACTCCATGTGCAGCTGCGCACAGCAAGTGCCTTTTGAGCAGCACCAGACAATGTGTATTTAAAAAGGCTTCGACCCCAGTGGATAACGCGCCGGCGGCCACGGTCAACCATTGGGTGATCGAAGTATGTGGTTTTAGGGTTGACCTTATCTGGTTTGTCCTTCTTCATAGGGAGGAAACAGCGCCACTGCTCCCGTATATTTGGCTGGCCACCTAAAGGGAACGCATTACCGCCTTTACACTTTGTAGAAGACAGCACGACTTTACCTCCTGACGACCTCGTATTACGATTTACCACGATAAAGCGAGTCACCATTCTTCATTATTGGCATTTCTAGATTTGTTGAGCCCAAACTAACTCACATAGCCCGCGGGATCGTTGCACAACTGAAGACAGACCACGGTGACATCATCATCATTATCTTCCCATGTAAAAACCGCGTGTCCGTCGTACACTGGTTATAGCTGCTGGGGTTCCATTGGCCGCCCCGCATTGAAGGCGGCAGCAGATATGATTGGTGCGGGGGTGGGTGTCATTGGACTTTTCATTGGGGGTATCTTGAGGGGAACTACGCATTGAAGGCAACAACTTGGATACATGCGCCATCTTGCTACGTCTCACGATGTCTCTAATCACTGTGACATCTCGGGGTTCGGAGGAGAAAGCAGCGACCAGCAAGGCCAAGTTTGCTGGTAATAGCTTCCACAATTTGTAGCTAATTTAGCATTCACCTTTCCTGGATCTTTTCAACCCTTCATGTGGCTGTACGAGAATGGCTCCCTGATGAAATCGGTAACTGGCACACGGAGCACGTGACAAAGCCAGCGCAGCCTATGGAGTGAGATCAGTTCATCAGTCGTTAGTTCCTCCGAAAAGTATTCGACGTACAGCGTACAGTAGCCAGGTTTGCGAGCAGTATAATCATACCCTTATATACATATATATATATATGTATA